GCGGGGAATCGTGAGAAGTTAGTGGGGAGAGAAAGAGGGAAGGAGGGCGGCAGGGGAAAGAGATATGAAAACATGACATGCCTTAAAATTGGCAGAAAAAAAACAATACACTCCTCTGGCTTTTCATTACTCCCCTGGTCCCTCCTTCATCCTGCCCACCTTCGCCTCACAAGCTCTTCATATCAAGTTAAAGGCTCCTTGTCCCTCACATGACTGATTGGATGTTTGATCTTGAGGGAAGAGCTCACCTCGAATTCAGACGGACAAAAAGACAAAGACAATGACCTGTCTGCCTCCACCCCATACATTCCTCTTTTCAGCCGTGTGCAACATGGGAATGCCCTTCAACCAGGCTTTGAAGTGTCACCGGATGCTCTGGAAACCACCGATACACCTCCAAAACATGAGCACATACCAGCCTCAGAGAAGACAGATGATGGGTGTTGAGCCTCATTGGAAAAGGCGTCTAATGCCGAGACGTCTGTCACGACGCATGCTTTCCTTAGGAAGAATATTTCCCCTTCAGATTCAATGCTTTTCGCTAAAGTTATGGCTAGCCGTGACTGGCCCACAGCACACCTCTGCAGAGTTGTTGCTGCATGTTTCTGAATGGAGACCTCTGATAAGGTGCTGAGAGAGAAGAATGCACAGATAGAGATGCTCTACAACATGCTGATGTAGGCCGTTATCACTTGGTTGGCAACGACACCTCGTATGCTGAACGGGCATCTTCAGGAGCAGCTTTTCTGGTTAAATATCACATTTCATCTGAGCAAACACACGGCCGAGGAGGTTGAGCCCATTACCTGTGGCACAGAGGGCAATGAAGGTCTGGACGTGTTTCCGTATAAGTGCCAGCTTATCCTTGGGCAGCGGCAGCCTCCTCACAATGTGCTCAATGAAGTCGTTCGGCGTCACTGCTGCCAAGTTCCACTTCAACTTCCCCAAAACTACAAGTTCCCATTCCTGAGGAGGGAGAAACAGGGGGCAGAAAGTTAATTCAAACGACTGAAAAAACAAGCCTGTGCCACAAAATTCTCGCAAAACTGCGACAGAGATCCGAGAGACCTGCAAAACAGCACTTTGTGAATTTTGCTCGGGAGTCTAAAGGGTTTGAACGAGTCTCTGCGAGGCCCCGGGCCCTGTCCAGCCATGAACATGGAAAGTGTTGTCCTTTCGTTTCAGAGAAAAACCAGCAGCGCCACCGACCCAGGTGACCTCACAACACTGTCTCCCTCCTGTCTGTCTGGCATCTGGGGACTTTCCTAAAGAGGCCCACCAGAGGTTCCGCTGAACGAGTGCAGAGCGAAAACCCATAGGAAGCCTGCGTTCAGGGAGCAGGATCAGGAGCTAAACTTTAAAGCTACAAATCAGGCTTTTTTTTTTTTTTTTTACGTACTGTGGTGGAAACAGAAACCTTTGGCAGTGTAGCCGCACACGCACCAGAACAAGGTGCTCCTAACTTTTTCTGTCCATCTGACTCATGGTTCCCTGCACAGATAAATGTGAAATCAGGGTGGGATGATGTTGTTGGGTAAAATGTTCTGTTCGTTTCACTTGAAACTTATTGTTACTTTCACTTCCTGAAGGAGGAGATGATTAATGGAGGAGTTGGTGACTAATTTGGAAAAAAAATTGGTTTGGTTCCGCATTGGTGCCTTGTGACTGATGTGACGGACGCTCCTCATTCTCCCTTTTAGAGAAAAAGACCACATGGATGCAGTCATGAGACAATTCAACATAGCTGCCCCTGACAAAGTCAACAGCCTGCAAATATCCTGATCCCAGCGACGAGGAAAATAACACCATCGCACAGAAAGACTTGTAATAAAGCTGCATTTGCTCTCATTCGAGAAGAGGAAAACTCCAGAAAAGGATTTTTGAAAAAGCACCCCTCCGAACGCCCAGCAGTGGGCTGTTTGATGAATGACATGTCCTTTGCACCCTGGCTACGTCCTGCTCTCAAAAGCCTTTGCCATCAATACTAGGATGCAATAACTGAGCCTACTACAGAGCAGCCAGAGCTGTGACAAAGCTTGCAACAGAGACACTGTGCTGACAGAGTGGCAGGCAGGCAGGCAGGCACCCACTTCCTTCTGCTTCCGCCTTTCTCTTGGTCACACCTTCTTTGCAAGATTGCGGTTCACTTTACAAGAAATTGTTACCAAAGATGAGGACAAAAAAACGATCACATGCCCTGAGCAGCTGATCTCTGTTTCCTGTATCTGCATCTCAGCCAAAATACTGCCTTATACAGAAACACAGAGAAGAGGCCTCAACAAACCAGTTCAAGGACTGAGGGCTTTGTCTTCTGTCTACATACAGTAAAGGTCACATAGACTCAGCTTTTTGTGATGTGCAGCGTTATACGCGGGGTTCAATAAAGCTACTGCTGCCCTTCGAAATCCTACATGCACGTTAAGATAAAAGAAAGAGGAGAACATCTGACCCAGGAAATCATCTTGGAAGGAAATAATTCAGCCGTGACGCAGGACCTTGAATCCTTTGGCTGGTAGAGCCACTGCTCAGGCAGCAGAGCAGGACTACAACCATCAGCCACGTCTGATTCATAATATGTGGCCTCTTTCACAACATGGGTGGGATTGGCTGTTGTTTACTGAGGAATGTTTATGTAGCACCACAGAGCGGTGTGGAAATACTTATCTGATGTGAAACTGAGCTAATTAATTGGTTTACCCTGTCATAGACCATTAATATCATCATGCCAAAGAAGCATTATCAAACAGGCTGACCAGAGAAATGAACATTTTTCAACTCCAGTCCTGCAAAGCATCATCAGTTTCATGCACATATTCAATAATCCTCCGAAAATCTGGTTTCCTTAGGCCTCTGATCTTATCAGAAATGTGTGCATCGATGGTTATTTTGGGAAGAAGGCAAAACTGTAAAAGGCAAACTCGAATTTCTCTGTGTCTCTCCCTCTGTGGAAGACAGGAACACAGTCAGAGCTTTGGCTGGAGTTCAGCTGACCTCATTGCTCTGGGCAAATATCTGCCACAAGATGGCGATGGAGACCATTGCACAGCCTCAGTTGACACTGTAAAGTCTTGTACGCTCAAGGAAGCCCTTGTGGAACCATCCAATTTGGGGATTTTGCTTTTCATTAACCTTTGGTATGGATGCAACAGAAAGAAGAGAGTGGACAGCAGTTTGAGTGGAATAATCCTCATGCTATACATACCATGGTTGCATTATTAAACTAAACATACCTTAAATAGGTGATATAATCAATGATTTTCACAGCATATCATATGGAACACTTAATGCAGAAAAAAAGCATATAAACATGTTTATCTTTTACCTGTTGATGAAAACAACATGAATACTCAGAGATATTCCAGAAAAATAAGTGAAATATATTGAACCAACTGTTGCTTACCAGCAGCTCTTGTGGTCTAATGGAGTTATCTGTGTAGATGCAGAGCTTCTCTGCAGTTAGGGGACGAGTCTCTTTCAGTTTGGATGCAAGAAACATGCACACTGCTCCCAGCAGCTGCAGGTTACACTTTTTGGTGGGTACCACGGCTAAAAATCTGTCTAAATAGTTCATGGCCAAGGGGAAAACTTCTTCCTCGCACTTTTGCTCCTCGCAAACCTGAAATAAAGAGACAGCAGACAATGCAACATTGATGAGCGTTTGAAGCCCCAGTGGTCACATGACTTACTTCTCAGTTCCCATTTCTCTTTGAATGTATATAAAACTTTTATGATTAAAGGGGGAAAAAAGACCAATCGCATAAAAAACACACAAAAATTCAATGGCACACATAGTTGGGGCCCGGCCAAGAATCTGCGCCCAACCCATATCGGTTGCGACATCATACATTAATTTAAGATCGATTTTTTTTTTTATTACAAAGAATGAAATACGTCTCAGATGCATATTGTCATTCTAGTGACATTCCTGCAATTCATTCACTAAGAAATGAATTCAAGTCACAATCAGCCGAGCCAAAAAAACACCCCGACAGCGCAGTACACGGAAACAGGCTTTTTTTTCATTCGTCATATTTTCATAAAATAATTAAAAATATAAATAAATTATGTAGTGTTATTTTCTTCACACCATAATGTTCTCCGGAGTCTTCTACATCATATCCGACAATTCATATCGAAGTTACGAACGGTTAAATATGGATAAAATGTCAAAAAAAGCGATCAAGTAGCGAGCGGCTGGTCTTAGGTGCGTCACCGCTGCCTCGAAATATTTATTTCAAAAATTAATTAAAAATCTCCAGAACGTCGTATTTGGACGATATTGAGATCAAAATAAAGCTTACAGTCTCTGCTTTGTTTACAATCAGGAGGTGACCACAAATATGCGACGAATGGTCAAGATATGAACATAATTCCATAGTGAGGCGCTCCGTCGGGAGGAAGACCGACACAACAGCTAAGGCCCTCGCCCCTTCCGACATTTCAAATAGATACCTAAAATGTTTGAAACGACTTTTGCTGTCGTGTTTACATTCAGTGGACATCCAAAACTCTCCTCTATCAATGCCGATGGGTTACAAGCGCTGTTATTCCGTTTGCGACACTGTAAATCCCCTTAAAAGCACAAGCGCTCATCTAAAACCAACATGGCAGACCAGCGCAAGGCAGCGTTGCGCTGGGGAGTGCATACGTGTTCATGGAAATATTCAGCCTATCTAAAATAATAACAATAAAAACAGAGTCGGGCACACCGTTCACACGTCGCGGAAGGCACATAGAAATGGTGTCATTGATTACACAGCCCTGCAGTTTCGTATAAACAACCGACTTAACCGGACTTTAAAAATGAAAAGAAAAGCCATTAAACGTCACATCGGGTGCAGACGAGGAATTAGCGGTCGGAAACACGATCATATGAGGCAGAAAAACTGCTCGAAATGGACTAGAATCGCACATTAGACTCCAGCAACAGCACGGGAGGCTTTAAAATCAAGCACGGAAATAACTAGTCACCGCAGCACTCGGTGTTTCGGTATACCTCCAACATCCAAGTGGCGACCATCCTCCTCATAAACGGCTGGATATCTTTCTGGACGCCTTTGAAATAGGAATATTGGGGTAGAAACCTCTCCTCTATAGTCAACAAGCTCTGCAGGACCCTGTCATCGCACAGGAGGTTCGGATCGGGACGAGCTCTGATGTTGGTGTCCATTTCGAGGCAGAGCAGCTCCATGGTGGCTTCACTTAGTCTAAAAGTAGGATTTCTCCTTCGAAAGCGCAAAAGCTCTGTCGCAGAGGAGAAATGCAACACGACGGCAGGAAAGGCTGTTTAGAGGCATAAAAAAGTGAGACTGCAGGGGCTCCGTAAGAGTTGTCCTGCCTCTCCTTGTGAGAACTTTTTCCCTCTCCCCACAGTGCGCATCTACTTTCATCCGTCTGGCGCATTTCAACCAAGCCCTGCGTGCGCCACTGACGCAATTCACTTCATTACCTCTGTATAGGCCAGCAGCAACGCGCCGCACTCCTGCCCCTCTCTCTATCTGGCTGAGGAAGACTCTTTAGCAAAAACTTGTGTTTTCAGAAGGCAGAGACGCAGAAAAAGTGAAGCGTCTTGTGCGGAACACATCGATCTGAACTACAAGACTGATCTCATCTCACCCTAACCCGTTAAGCTGCGTTAGGTGAATTATATCAAGCTTAAGGCTGCCACTGAGGTATCTCACAGCTCAGTGTTGATCAGGACACAGACTCTCTGAGACATCTCTGTACTTTTGTGGACGAATTGATTTGGAATGGTGCTCCCCTGATGTGGGGGGATCATTGGAGAGTGAATGGAATGGTCACTTAACACGACCCAGAAGTTATTAAACGCTCTTTAAAGAAGAATGATTCATTTCTGAGTTAGAATTAAGCAAATGCTATGCATGGCAGCTTCAAGGAAACGATCTGTGTTTGGTAAAGCTTGAGCAACCTTTATGAAAAAAATAATAATTTTTTTTTCAAAAGTAGAGTCATGGCCATCCTCGCGTGCCTGACCTGCTTTCTAGTGAACATCCCAGCATGGCACGAGCATCATGTGCATGAGGACTTATGAACATGCGTGCAGTTGCATGCGGATAGGACACAAACCAACAGCCCACCCCCGCACAATGACACACAAACACACTTACACACACACGGACACACAAGGTCTTACTAGCTACGTTTTTTTTTATAGCAGCCACAAACTGCTTGTGGTTTATGTGATAGCTTTCTAGGAAATTTTAGCAACGTTTTTTTTCTCGTCCTGATCTTCTCTTGAAGATTAAACAAAGATGAGACCCACTGGTCTCTCACAACTCAAACTAATTCCTGCTCCAAATCACTAGTTTTTTTTTCTTCTACTTTTTTTTTTCTTCAGTATCATTTACATGGAAAACAAGCAGGTGGAAACGGAGCCGAGTGTCAATCTGTGAGCAGATGATTAAAAAATAACTGCCAAATGATTTAGCCGCACATACAGTCACAAAGAGAATCTGCATGGGTAAATATGTTAATCCCCGTCCCATTCTTAGTCAACTTCAAAGACTGAGCCCTGAATGAAACGAGACATCAGCGCATGAGGGGAAGACTGGGGACTGTAAAGTCCACACAGCTTTAGAGCTGTTAATTTCCATCCGAGGCTTGGTGTCTATATGGCGATGCATGTGAGAAAAGTGGGGGGAAATGTCTCTTTAAAGTTTTTTTTTTTTCCCACTCTAAGTTCTTTCCTCCTCCCTGTGAGTCTATTTGCATAGCCAATAGCTCCTCAGCGACTGTTACTGGGCAGACTTCATCATTACCTTCCTCTGTGTCTCTCCTCTATACATTGTCGTGGTCATTTTGTACGTCTGCGCCTCGAAAGGATGTTGCTGCTGCGCACCACCGGTCTGAGGGGACTTTTAGCTCATGATTGGCATCAGGAAGGAGCGAAGTTTGGTCTGTTGTGACATATTTCACGTCCAGAGCAAACTGCTTTTTTGTTTTCCTTTTAAAGTGCCAGTCTCTGGCAAGAAGGCAGAATAAGACTACCCCACATAAATATATAAAAAATACTCTCTTTTCATTAAAAAAATAAATAAATAAATCAGGATTCAGGATCTACACTATAAAAAAAAAATCGAAAAAAGCCAAACAAGGACTGTGACTCAACTGAATAATATGTTCTCCAGATTCTTCAATTCATTGGAAAAATTATATTAGTACCTTATTAAGGCGTTTGGACCTTGTTTTACTTTAATGATACATTATTTCTTGATTCAGAGCAGCACAACACAAGTTATGAAAATAAGAACCGTTTCTGTTTAAAACAAAAACAGAAATCTACTGTATCAAGTCAGAAAAGGAGCCAAACCGATTGGAATGTGGCTTAACAAAAGGTGGCAGAGCAGACGGCTTATCCAGATACTCTGATCATCCAGCGGCGTCAGCTGTTCTCAGCTCTCCAGGTGCGCAATTACGCACCTTAAAAGCGCCATTCACACAACTCATTACGCATACATGTAGATTAGAGTGTTTCAACGGGAAAAGAAACAATTTATAGGAAACAAATGTGAATACCACGCTTTCTAAAATCTCTGTCCACATGCAGGGACCATGCCAGTCTTTAAACTGTGCTTAAAGTGAACGTGTGAAATGCACACAAACGCTCCAACAACCTTTTTATGTATTTTCTTCTTATAATAAAGCTGTTCACCGCCAGGAAACCGATCTAAACTAACTAAAAAGTCACATCCAATGCACGAGTCGAACACAGCAAACTGCACAGAAGTTACAGTATTAACAGAGCTGTCAGGAAGCTTTTTTTAATTCATTTAAAAAAAAATTTCCCTGCAGCTGAACAGTGACGCGGTCCTCTGAGTGAGATCAGAAGCAGCAGCAGCGCATTCTTGTGCCCGGAAGCATTCAATTATCACACCAGAATAAAGTCGGAACACACCCTGTCTTTTATTAACGATAACAGCGTCTAGCAGCACAATCCAAAGCCCGGCTGCAGAGCACCGCTCAATAAATACCCAAGTTAAGAAGTTTAGTCAAAACAAAACAAAAGGACTCTGCGACACGCGGCAAGAAATATCTGTCGGAACAAATACCAGCTTGGGAAATAATTCTGTCTTTACACACTTCTTCTAGTCTACTTTTCTTGGTGTCACAGCCCGAAAAAAGAAAGAAAACATACAACATAAAGTATAAAACACAAGCAGAACCGCTCGCTCCTCCTGAAAGGAGTTTTAAAAAAAAGATGTAGAAATAAATTTTAAAAAAATTGAATTCACGTCTAAAAATAGAAACGATTCTTTTTTTTTTTCGGCCAGTGACTCATCCTCCGTGCGCCTTTCACAGCTCAGATCACCGGTACAGCCATCACATGCAATCAGGCACCAGCCCGATAATGACAGCCGCCCTGCTGCCTTTTATCTGCTGCCTTTACCGACACCAACACGGGAATGTGACGCTGAGAAAAACTGTCCCACGACACAAGAAAAGTGTCGGAGGGGAATTTGGCAGACTCCCATCAAGGCACAAACGGTCGTGAAATGACAGCATCTCACTTGTGACTGTGTTTGGAGGAGAAACAAGAAAAAAAAGAGAGCGAAGAATGTGACATCTATTTCTCAAATTAGTCATCGTGCACCTTTTCCTTTCTGAAGAATGTGAAAGAGTCTTATTGTAATGACTTTTTGTTGTCAGAATTAAAGGAAAAATAATAGATTTTGAGTGTCAGATTGATCCAGAAAATATGAGGACTGAGAGAACAGTTGGGTGTGGAGCAGGTTTTTCTAAGTTCTTTATTCTTGTTCACTTTCAAGTGAAACCAAACAAAGGGAAGGATTATTATTATTTTTCTTTTGAAAACAGACTTTAAAACCTGGAGATAAAGCTGTTTAAGCTGATAGGATCACTTCAGGTATGTGAGAAGACTATCTAAAAATAACAAATCTCTATCCAAACTATCAGCAGCTGCTGTAGAGGAAATACTTCTTTCTGAAACAAAATACAATTAAATAAAGTCGTAATATTACCTACATGATTACAGGATGTGGTCGGATTGAAGTCTGAGTCACTATATTTATTTTAAGTATTAAATTGTTGAGAAAAATACAGATATTTAATGTAATAAAAGCACATGTTTAGAAAATGTCTCCTTTGTCTATTAAGCAAGACCAAAGAATTTACTGAATATATCTGAGTTGAAATGTTTATAGCCATTATTGTATAAAAAAAAAATCCAAACTGGTCTTCAAAAGGATTTATGAGATATTTTTGATAAACTTATTTATACCTTTTTAAAGGAACATCAATAATAAATAGTCCAAAAAAAGAGCACATCATCTGGAATCAACACAGATATTTAATTGTTTGGAAGGCAAAAACAAGAATAAGATGGATTATTTCAATCTTAAAATTAATAAATTATAATTTCTTAATTTTTAAAACAACAACTTTGTATGATTTCTGCTTTGGCTGCCTTCTAAAAGCTTCTAAAAATAAAATTAACCATTGAAATAAAATGGAATGGATGTGAAGTAATGATCTCAAAGGTGGAAATTATGGAAGCAAAATAAATGTTTGTTAACTTGCTCAATTTTTTTCTCTTAAAAATTCCAGTTCACAAATTGAAATATAACAGATGTCTTTGAACAGCAACACAAAGGAACTTATTAATCTATTAAATGTTTATCTGAACACTCAAGCACTGAGTGAGATGCCTTCAAAAACTCTGACTTGAACCTCCGGCAGCCTTTTTTTCCGTAAAGTTTTTATTTAATCGTTTATTTTCAGATCAATTCCATCCAGGTGAATAAAGAGCAGGAAGCAGGTGACACACCAAGAGATGCGATATAGAAATATGAAAACACAAAGAAAAAACAGCTTTTACACGCTGCCCCTGCTGTCAAATAGATCTCCACTCGTCTCACATCAGGTGTTGAATCACAACCCAATTCTCTGAAAAACATCCCTCATACGTCTTTACAAATCATTTGTTTTTCATGCCCACATTTCCTCATTTGAGCTATTTTTCTGTGCTTGAATAACTGCAGATGTGTGGGCAAAAACAACAACAATACAGAGAAAAAATTGCTCATCCATGATAAAAACACCACCAGACTTCATGCAAACGCTTTACTGGAGAAGCTATTGTCCAACCGACGGGGGCCAAACCCCCCCCCATAGACCTGTTCTGTTTCCCTGTGCTTCTCACCTGTCTGGGAGCCTTTTCAGAGGCTTCAAATTCAATGTTTCCAGAGTGGATTCAGAGTCTGACTGAAGCATCCCATTCAGGGCTCTCACAAACTTTACAATAAATTATTAAAAAAAGAAAAAACAAAAGGTCCTTTGGTTTTAAATGAGAGGAAAAGCCATGTAACTGGCATCGGAAACGCTTCTAATCCGTCCCGAAAGTTAAAGGTGAAAACCAGTTTCCAGCTAAAAGACAAACAG